CGTTGTCCCCGCCCCGCCCCCCCCCCCCCCAAAAAAAAATAATCCCGTCGCTTGGCTGAAAGGGCTGAAGTGAGAAATGGTGGCGGCTAGTTACATTTTGACCCGTTCTTGCGACAGAAATGGCCCATCGCTGCTTTTCCCGGGACTGGGCTCCTGCGCTGCAGCACCCCAGGTCGGGAGTTCAGGCAGGCCCGGGGCTAGCAGGGGGCTCGTTCCCCCGGGGCGTGCCGAGAGGACGGGCACCTCTCCCTGTCAGCACCCTGACCCGCCAGCACCCTGACCCAGCCCGCTGCAGAGTCAGGCTGGTGGCTCTGAGGGGAAGGCGCGAGGGCGGGAAAGATAACCTCTTGCTGTCCTCCCAACAGAGAGAGGACTAGGTGAAAAAACGGCTCTAAAAACCTCTGCTGGGATTTCAGAACTCGGCAAGCCGGGAAAAGAAAACAAAAGCATTAGTTTTCGTCCTGTTTGTGTGCTCTGAAGATTAGATGAGCCAAGAATCACAGCCAGGGATTTTCTAAGCTACTTCCTCAGCTAGCTGCAGCAGGTATGGTGGAGATAAGAGGCACATAGTGTCCTCTGCTCTACCCTGCTTATCTCCCGCCCCTTCCTCAGCCATCTCCCATCACCAGGCAGAGCGGCCCCATGGACAGCAGCAGGGCATGTCGCAGGACACTGCAGGTACTCTGGAGCCAGCACACCCCCAGGATGCTGCCGCCTACTGCTAAAGGCCTTGACCTCTCCGGGGACCCGGGTCCAGTTTGGGAGCATGGAGGCTCTTCACACCAATCCGTCTGCCCATTTCTTCTCTGCAGGCAGGCCAACCTTCTCCAAAGCTGGGACTGCAGCTGTGACAAACTATTTCAACGAGGTGGAAGTCAGTACAACTAGGTGTAACTGGCTGAGAGAACAGGGTCAACTGATTTGGCCTTGAAGACATTGAGGTTTTTACCCTGTGCTGAACACATACACATAGTGCTTTGGGGTCTACAGTCCTGAAGGGCCACTGAAACTTTGACTGCAATTGCTCTTGTGAAGTGACGAGCTAAACTCTGCAAACACTGGGAGAGGGAACATAACAGTTATACAGAACTCAAGCCCTGGGCAAAGCAGTCTGCTGGCCTGCAGCAACCCGGAGGTAGCAGCCCCCTGGCCTTTGCTCAGCCCACTCTCTCCAGGGTAATCTCAGTATTGCCACCTCCAAGTTCAAAAAATGATGTGTGCAGCTAAAACAAGAAGAATACAAAATGAGATTGTTTTAAAACCCACAAGGTTGAAATAAAATATTAGCCATGTTATTTCTATCTGTTTGCTCGGTTTTTTTAGCACTCAGAAGTTGTTTTCCAACTTCTCTCAGCAACCACAAGTTCTAGCAATTCACTTGCAGAAAATTAAAGCTGACATTCTCATGTCTGCAGGAGCTTAAGAGTTTTCTTGAGTTTCAACTCTCTGATAAAACTCCCTGAGCTGGCAAAGTGGGGCCTATTCGTCTGCTTTATTTAAAGGATTTTTTCTTCCTTTCTCCAGGCTTTTCCTGTCTTTGACTTTCATAGTTACCAGCACGGAAGTGTGATTTCAAACTTTTCTTCACTTTCTCTGCCAGGTGTAGGACACTTGCTTTGCTATGATTAAACAAAAGAGCCAAACACTAAGAAAGCAATATGCAAAATATGTCCTGGGGCTCCCCTGAAGATGCCCAGGGCTCATAGTGCTGATGGGGCCTTCATGCGGCAAAGCCTGCTGATAATCTGCTGAAGGTCTGACCAGTAACTTCTTAGCTGAGAAATTCCCAGTCCCTGCTCCCTGGCTGCTTGGGAGCCAGTGTACGATTCCTGAGTCCATGAGGGCTCCAGAAGTCCACAAACAGTAACTCAGAGAGGCAAGCCCCTTGGTAGGATGAACGACACCGCACCTGGGTACAAACCTCCACCAAAACAAAAATAATGGGGGGCGAGCATTGGGAAAAAGATTGCGTGTGCCACAGGTGAGCAAACAGGAAGGTGACTACAGCAGAAAGGAGCACTGATTTATCTATAGCTTTTGAAAAAGCAGAGCTTTAGAGCAAGTACCTTCTTTTTGGTTCTGCTTGTACCGCCCCTAGCACCAGGACCTAAGACTGAGCCCCCAGATGCTAGAGTAGTAAATGTACCTGGATAATTAAAACCAGTAACTAGAAAAACGGGGGGGGGAAAAAATC